CAATCATTTTTCTTGAGCATGACTACAATCATATTTCTAAGAAAATATACGATCCAATGCGACCTACACCCCAGTCTTGAGAAACTTAGAGCATCTCTGACACCTCATTCTGGGATTAATCGATCCCAAGGGGACTCGATTCGATCTATTCCATTACAGACTACAATCGTTAAGCAAAAACTTCGACATACAACTTTGGATAGGCCAAAAATCCTTGGTGGATTTCCTTTGACATTTTCTTTTACAGGCTATAGTCATCAAGCAAAAGCTTCGGCATGCAGTCTTGGATAAGTAAAAAATCCTCGGTGGATTTCCTTCAACCTCTTCCATAACAGGTTACAGTTGTCATACAAAAGCTTCGACAAAAAACCTAGGATAGGTCAACCATCCTCAATGGATTTCATACGACTCTGTTCATTACGGGTTAATATCATCAAGCTTCATCGATTATACAACTCAGAAATGGTCTTGCTTCCTCAATGAATTCTCCTTTCAATCATGCCCCTGACAGTTAAGCCCGTAAGGCAATACTCGATAAGAAGCCACCATGTTGCTGGAAGATAAGCTTAACAGGTAAATTTTGAGGGGAAGCTAGCAGTGGACAGGGTCCTCACTAGAAAGACTCCAAGAGAGCAAGTGGTTGACAGGGTCTCCACTAAAGGCATCAGTTCACTTCATGCTCCTATAAGACATAAGCATGAGAGGGCAAAACATCAGCGAGCACGCGTCTTAAAAGGTACGTATTTCTCTATTTTATAAAGTATGTGTATTAACTTTAATTGCAAAATTTTACACAATTAAGATGCCACAACAATAGTGGAAGCTACAAAAAAATATATTATCATGATGATTAAAAAGGCTACAAATACCGACATAGACTTGTACAAGGGCTACAATAAATCAACTCATCTTAGAGCAGAGTCGACATCTCCTCCACAAAATTTCAGTACTTTTGATGATCACCAGTGGGTCTCCAGATATTGCCACCACATAAGCAAAAAAAATATTACCCTCAAAGAGCGGCAGGAAAAGTACAACATGTCTTCATCACCTCCAAAATACACGGCAATGAGAAAGAAGATCTTGTTGCTTGTCTGCTAAGCAGGACAGGGACGACTTTCCTCTTTATAGCAACTGTTCGCCGCAGCTCAGCACTGCAACTTGGTGCCGCAGCTCTGCACCGCAGCTCTGCACCACAACTCTGCACTACAACTCTTCACCGATACACAAGACGACTTTCTTCTTCTTGGGAAATCATGGTCTCGGATGATAGTCTTAAACTAAACGCCTCGCTGCAACGCTTCGTTCCGACGCTTCGCCGAAATGCGTCGCCGTGATGCATCGCTGCAACACGTCGTCGCTGCGCACCACCAAAACGTCTCGCGTTGCCATAATGCCCCGACATGACGCACTGCCGCATCGCGTCACCGCGACACACGTCCGCTACACGTCGCTGCGACACATCATCGCAATGCGTCGCCCTGACACATCATCGAAGCGCATCATCGCGACGCTCTATCGCAACGCGTCGCCACAACACACTGCTACAACGCACCGCTGCAACGCGTCGTCGCAGCGAATGCTTCGTCGCGGCACACCCTTCGCTGAAACTCTTCTCATCAACTCTCCACGGCAACTCGTCGTGTCGCCGCGAAGCCCCGACGCACCGCCGCACAGCCGCACAGCCGCAACGTGTCATCGCAGCACAAAGCTGCAATGCTTCTCTGCGACACACCGCTGCGACGCCTCGCTCCACCGCAACATGTCGTCGCGACGCTCCGCTGCAACTCGTCGCCGCGATGCAATGCCAAAACTTGTCGTGTCGCGCCCACGCCGCGTCGTATC